ATGCCTACTCTCGGAACCAGTCACTCGCGCGCCATAGTGAAAATTATACAGGATAGGTCACTTCCGCCTCCTCTTGAGATATGTGAAATCAGATTTGATGTAAACAATCAGCAACACGATTTTCAAGTTTCATATATCATTGCGACATTTCTGGCTTTGTACGAAGATATTTAGCAACACTATGCATTCTTTCAAGATTATGAACTTATGTGCACACTATTTCATCTTTATGGCGTGTAATAAAGGACGAAACAAACTTTAATTTTATATTTTGCCATTTTGAAGATATTAGGGGGAATTAATGGACATAATTGTAGTAATGGATATATTTATATCAGTATGGTAAGCCAAAAACTACCAAATACTTAACAGTAAATATATAAAATACATATTTAAACAATACTATAATTAGTACCATATAGTAACTAATAACACATTAGCTTTTGAAATTTGCTGTATTGATGTATTAATGTACTCAGGTGAATAAGATGCTTGTGTGATATACACTCAGAGTAACATCACACAAGCACATTAGCTTTTATCATCATCACAGTCCACTGCCTTCATCTACGTTACTGGGATCTATCCATTGAACTAGATCTACCTCACTGTTCTCACAATTGCTGCATTTGCAAAGTTTAGTGCACTTTAATTTAAATTTGCTTTAAAAAATGAGCATTTTGTTTGACAACCCTATTTGCATTTGTAGCTAACAAATTACTGACCAGCTTGGCCCATACCATCTCGGCCCAATAGTTAATAACTACTGTTTGACATATTGGGGAACTAAGGAAGCTTATTAATATTTTACAAAAGGCAGCAACAAACCGATACAGCCATTTGCAGTTGCATTGGGCATACAGATGAGTAAAGTTTGCAATTGGCTCTGAACAATTTCTAAATCAATATCGCAAGAGAACATCCAGTTTGGCTTAAATATTTAAAGATCTAAATTACTGATTTTTCAAATCTCTCTCAAACATTGCAAAGATAGAATGTAGTCATGGTTCCTAACTTGTTTAATGGTTAGGTAGTCAGTTTAGAAACGGGGCGAGTTTTCCTTGAACAGTGGGCCAAGTTGGTTAGTGGGCCGAGTTGACTGTAAAGCATTCTAAGATGCTGTGTGGAGCAGGGCGCTTGTGTCCCCCATGGGTATTATTGATCGATGTACCACATCGATCAATAACATTTTCCTGGCCGTAAAGATATCACTCCAGGAAGGTGGTAACACCCTCGGGAAGGTGTAAATCATCTCTAAGTGCCTCGAATGCATATTTGAAGAATTTGTGGTGCTTAATCTTGCTACATACTCTGAGTGCTGTTGTCTTGCCTTTACTGCAATGTTGAGATATTCTAACTAAAGTTTAAAAATGTTCAATATGATAGCAGAGGTGTGTGACATGCCTTTGCTAAGGGGCAGAAGAGCAGTTATGTGTTAGGTGGCAGTTATGTGACCTTATACATACAGTAACTGCTGCTGTATGTAATGGAAATTTTTATTTAAGTAGGTAAACCTATCTAATTTATGACAAAATGTTATTAAGATTCGAGATGTTTGTTGAAGAGGAGTAACTCTTCCTAAAATGTGACAGGTATAGCTTCACCTATCAGTGCTCAGTGAGAGCAATGAGTCCTTGGTACATAAATTATGCTTGCTATATGTCTGCATACTGGTTGGAAATAATTTGTTTGCATTAGACACGCCCCGGTGAGGAAATTATATATACAGTATATGATTCCTCAAATATTGAAATATTGGGATGATATCTACTCGAAACCTTATGCAGTCAGATGAATATTTAATTAAATACTGTTATAAGGTCGAAGAGAACATTGAAAGTTTTTTTCAAATAATCAAATACTGACAGTAAATCGACACTTGGATACTGTAACTGTGTGACACTAACGATTTGTCAAACTGGATGTCATTCTAGTCTTGAGTTCACTGGAGAATTTTAATAATCTTTTTAGGAATATAACATAAAAGTAATTTAGATAACATGCATCAAGGGTTGGATCCTAAGGCACTACCATGGGGGCACTCATCCTCCCCTAGTCTACCTCAGAGCCAGTCATTGTGTCAAGGTTTATCCCCATGAGTGGCAGCTCACTCGAGCACAACATTCCTTTCCGGAAAACAACCGATCACAGTAATGCTTCTAAATTTTCGAAACATGACCTTGAGACAAGATATTTATGAATTATTAAACATTAAGATATCTAACGAAAGACAAAGGGAACAGAATGCTGTGCTTGAGCGAGAAGCCGCTTGTGAGGAGAAACTCGACACAAATAGCAGCTCTGAAGGAGACCAATGCTTCCCCAGAATATTTTAAATATATGGTGCCCCAGATTGGCTAAAAATACATTTGCCATACAACATTTGTAACAACATTCTATAATCTGTACATTTATACACTATCAAACTATGAAGATGGATGTACTTATAATTGTATTTCTTAGCTCATTCCTACAAAACAGGTAAACATTCTTTCTATTGGTTACAATTTCCCTCTGAATTTCTCCTTTTATCTAAATTTTTACAATATACATTTTTGTTTTTCATGGGAAAATATCTGATCCGGACAGCAATTCTGCAAATGCAAAAAGGGTTGTCAAACAAAAAGATGCTCATGTTTTAAGGCAAATTTGAAATGCACTGAACTTTGCAAATGCACTAACACTTTATTAGCTAATATGCTCTTGGCATAAATTTTATACAAAAATCCACACAAGCAATTGTGAGAACAACAGTGGATTGTGATGATGATGAAACCTAATGTGCTATTAATTACTATATGGTATTAATTATAGTATTGTTTAAATATGTATTTTATAGATTTACTATAATTAAGTATATTTGATATATATGTCCATTAGGCATCAATGCTCAGTCTTCAAAATATAAAATTGAAGTTTGTTTCGTCCTTTATTACACGCAATAAGGATGAAAAAATGTGCACATAAGTTCATAATCTTGAAAGAATGCCTGGTGTTGCTAAATATCTTCGCACAAAGCCAGAAAATACGCTTTGTCGCAATGATATATGAAACTTGAAAATCGTGTTGCTGATTGTTTACATCAAATCTGATTTCACATATCTCAAGAGGAGGCGGAAGTGACCTATCCTGTATAATTTTCACTATGGCGCGCGAGTGACTGGTTCCGAGAGTAGGCATTTTGACGTATGGCATATAGTAAAAATGCTATTGCGAAACTTGTAAATTTTAAGATTTTGATCGCAATTTACAAAAAAACTGCAGGGTGAACCCGCAAGAACTTTTTAGATTTGGATTCAGCGTCACTTAATCTATAAGAATATGTAATTTTCTTTTAGTTTAAAGAGGTGTGCAACGAAAATCGTTTTCTAGCCATCTTTTGGGGCACTAGACGACGGCCTAATAGAGCAAATGTAGAATTTCGCTTACCTCAAAATTCCGCAACAGTCTGTTTCATCAGTAAAGAATCATCAGGCGCCCGATGATTCTTTACTGATGAAACAGACTGTTGCGGAATTTTGAGGTAAGCGAAATTATTTATATATATATATATATATATATATATATATATATATATATATATATATATATATATATATATATATATATATATATATATATATATATAAATTAATCAACACATAACGTTACGTTTCGACTTTATTGTCTTCATCAAATATAATCTTACTTTACAGGCGAACCCAATTTATACCCTCCCAATTTTGCTAATTATACATAATATGAATATAAGTGATTTACCATACAAATAACAATATCCTAATATTTATATACCTTTATGGCTTTTCGCCTAGTGATTAATCTATATATATATATATATATATATATATATATATATATATATATATATATATATATATATATATATATATATATATATATATATATATATATATATATATATATATATATATAGGGCGATTCTCCCGTCACTTGTGTGACATTGAGACAACCATTTTGTTGTTGTTCAGAACCTTAGGCTTTAGCAATAAGTGGGGCCTTGAAAATTATAAGATATTTATTGAGTCTTGGGTCAACTCTATTAGCACTCACATAAGTAGCACAACCTTTTCACTTCTCTTCTTTGAGATACCGAGGCGAATGTGGCATGTCACGTGTGTGCCTCACAAAAATGTTTTTTTTTGTTAATTCTCTAAACAAGTTCAAAAGTCTGTGAACTTGGAAAAGACAAAATAATGAAAAATACACGAAATATTCCAGCAATTGACACTCTATTAGGATCATATACAAATTTCTGTGAAAAACCAAAACTAACACTGTACGGGAAGATTATGTGTCTGTCATATGTGTGACAACTCTGTCACGTGTGTGACCAAGTGTGAAATATATATAATAACAAGTCAAAAACTTGCTTTCAAATGCATCAGATATTATCAAGCAAAGAATATATATATACAACAATAGTTAGCAGAACTAAAAACTATACAGTAATGTGTTCCAGTTGTTTAGCTTGGAAAGTTACTCTAAACAGTTGTCATGAGTTCATTTAAACTTCTCGCATAATTTGCCGAGAAGGAGAAATGGCGATTAGATACCGGTACTGGGATCTCTTCCGGCTTTGCCAAAACTTCTGTTGTTGGTACAACATCTGTGTCAATGCATTTTCCATTTAAATCTTGACGCCAGATGAATTTGTTTTTGGCCACAGGTTTCATAAACGAAACTGTAATTTCATCATCGGTTGAAACTGAATCGACAGTTCCTGGCCACCATTGGTCATCATAAATGACAGCAACCCAGTCCCCTGCTACAACATCAACTGGCACATGTGCAGTGGCCATATCATCTATAAGTAGAAATGTAACAACAAGAATTAAGACATATAACATAGAGCAAATCTATCATATAATTCATATATACATGTACATGTGGTTTGCACATGTATATATAAGTGCATACTAGTAGCTAGAGAAAGTAACAATATACAGTACCTGGAAGTTTGCTTTGTGATTCATAGTGAATAACAACATCAGATTCAGTTTGACCAGTGACATGACGAAGCTCAATCTTGTGATCTTTGAATATACACTGGGCATCATGCATTCTACGGATTCCATCTGCTGCTAGCGCATCCTCCCAAGAGTCTGCCAATGCCACAGCCTCGTTAATCTCTTCCTGACTGATGTGTAGAACTGTTGTGGAAGACATCAGTTCACTTGTCAGGTCTGCGAAATCTTTCGAACTTTGGACGGCATGACTCACATGTTGAAAAGCCAAGACTAACTGCAGGGTGTATTTCTTGAAACACTGAAAATGCTTCTCGCAGAAACATTGTAAGATAATGTTTTCAAAGGCGTTCCTTTTTTCCATTTGTCCAGTCGGTCATTTCATCCTTGAGTCCTGGCATGGTGTATGATACATCGGACCGGAAATAGAAGGCACGGACTGCATTTTGTACTTCTTCTGCAAGACCATTGTTCCCACTTGTTGTTGACAATGATGCTTCCATCTCTTTTTCCAAATCCACACCAAAACGTTTCGCTAGGCCACTGACAACAGCTTGTCTCTTTCTAGGTGACTGTGGCAAAGATCGAATTGACCTTTTGATAGCTTTGCCAAGTGACTGCGGTCTCTTGAATGGCTGATAGTTTGATGGGCTCTTATTATTAGTTTCCGTTGGCATGCATTGAAGAACTGCCCACAGTTTCTGTTAATGAACTGCCTGCATTTTCCATTTCTTTCTGTTTTTTCAACATTCGGCTTTTTCTCTTCCGTTCACAAGCTGCCATCTTATATTTGTTAAGTTCAGTTGGTGACATTTGGGCAATTCTATTCTTTCTTATTTTTTCTACTCTGGCACTCTCTACTTTCTTGAAATCACTGCCTTTTTTCTCGCGCCATCTCTTGTTTCGCTCAAATCCAGATAGCTTTCCTTTCTTGCTCGTACTATAATAAAGTTAACCATATATATAAGATATATTTAAACGTATTTGTTTAATATTTTAATTCATTCAGTGCAAAAGCTTATCCAATTTGACATAAATGTATTAAAATGTAGAAATCTAAGCATAAATTCGACTGATGTTGACTAGTACATATGTTCTGCCAAACGGTTTGACCACGTGTTGATCAGATGACGCGATTTGCGTTTATAAACAGTCAGGGACGCCGGAACGATAATAGGGCAAAGGGGGGCGGACGCACACCAAGGGCACCTTTACTGAAATTTTTTTTTCACTGCAAAATTTTTTGGCGACCCCCCCCCCCCGTCGCCAAAAAAATTTCGGTCAGTGTACCATTTTAGGGGTCAAAAAATTTTTCCGGATATCTTAAATTTTCGCCATTTCTTCAAAATATTTTTCTAAATTCCAAAAATTTCCCAAAATTTTTATAAATATAAACTATAAATTACCTGAATCTCATCATTTTCCTACAAAAAGCATCGTTGGAAATGTGATTTATCACGTATTATTTTACAACTAAAAGGGCACTTCTGCCCCCCCCCTGCCCCCCCTAGCAAAAGGCAAGGGGGGCAGCCGCCCCCCCCCTGCCCCCCCCCAGTTCCGGCGTCCCTGTAAACAGTGTTTTTTATTTTCATATAATTCAGATTATAAGTTAAAATAATAAATACTACATTTCTTAACAGTTTATACCTTGAATAATAAACAATGAAGCATGTAAAAACACTAACCTTGGCTGTATAAAATTCAATGCTTCGTTTTGTTCACCTTCTTCCATCACTGAATCGCTTTGTTTATGCTTGGATTGCAGATTTGTAGTGCTCATGAGCAAAGTGATTTACCCCTGAGTTCTTATATTGTGGGCTCAATAACAATTATATCCATATTAATTATTTAAACATATTTTTTGCATATATTTTACTGTGGTCACACACGTGACGGTCACACACATGACAATTTGTCACGTTTGTGACAAATATATTTTTTGCCTTAAATTCGGATTTTATTTATTTTGGCAGATAGTTTTGCATTTTATATCCTATTGATTTATAATTTCAAGTATAAGGTCTCTAGGGAACTACATATTCTATTTTAAAAAAAAGTTAATTTCTTGTGTCACGTGTGTGACACATCCAGTTCACTGCTTTTTGTTTGACCCTTTAATATGAAGGGAAATGATAAGAAACATTTTTAAAAGCCCTAAATCCATAAATCATTGCTAAACTTCATGCTTCATTCATTTGTGGTTGACATAACTTTCATTTTTACAAAGTTAAGCCTTAAAATCAAAAGCAATTTCTCTCAACAACAAATGTACTAAAATAGCATGTCATCATTAAAAACCCGATTTTTTTCTAGAAAGTCAACTTTTTATGAAAGTTAGTATCCATACTGGTAAAATATAATATAAGTAGCTTCAAATAAAATCAATAAAAATATTGTGCAAGTAGTTTTAAAATTTTGCAATGTAGGCTCTATTTTCAGAGAATCGCCCTATATATTATAAACCACAGTATGTTACATGCCTGGATAAATAGCCTCAAGGTTAAGGCCCTGACTCACGGCCCTCATGCAGTCATGGTTACTCTTCCACCTTAGTGATTCATGATTGATTCTCATCATACATTTACGAATCCTGCCTATAATGTTCATGGCAACCGCAAATTCATGGCTACGAGAATGCTTTTAGCCTTTTATAAACATGATCTTTTTATGTCAAGACAGTATGACTTATTAATTTAATGTCTTAAGTTCATTGTAATTAAATCAATGAGCTAATTAAGTGCTGTGAACAGGGCTCGAAGTAGAGAAATAATATGGCCTGCTATTCTATATGCGATCTATTGGCAGGTGAAATCAATTATAGCCTGCCATTTCTATTCATTGAACTGCCAAAATGGTATTGTCTTATATGAGTCATATTGTAAAAATCAATGTTTTCATGATATGCATTTTTAGTATTTTTAAACTTGTCTACTTTACTATAGTAAACTTGGATTAACATTTTAAATATTAAACGTATTTATAGTGAACTAAATGATCTAGTATTATGAGTTGTGGTAAGCAAATGAAATGAAATATATGACATATCAATTGTATAGAATTTCACCTGTTGGCAGTTCAAATTTGTTTTGGCAATGCCATTTCTAAAATATGGCCTGCTTTTGGCCATTGGCAGCCCGCTATTTCAAGCCCTGGCTCACTGGCTGTGAAAATGCTGGTGCCGGCTGTTTTTAAATCCAGTGACCTGGTTACACTAAGTCACTAACTAGACTATGGTAGGAAGTGAGATAGAAAGGGGGAGGGGGGTTAGGCACAATACCCAGGGCTGTGTTGTTCAAAGGAGCACATGGGAGAAGTTCTGCTAATCACTATTCGAAATTAAGCAGAATTAATTATTAATGCATGGTGAAGCAGATAATTTATGGAGATCGAAGCAGATTTTTTAGGGTGGTGCTGGAATTCTCTACGGGGATGCTACACACCACTAGGTGGCGTGCACACCGTTATGGTAGATTCGACCCTGGCTAGGTATAGTAAAGGGGGAGCTGGGAGGTACATGCCTAAATGCCAAACTATGCCTCCAGGCTCCAGCTACTATTAATGCCCGTCACCAAACACAAGGTAAAATGTTTAGACTCACCTACTAAAATAACATATATGAATGCAGCACCACCATTAACTTAAACTTGATGCGTCCTAAAATGAAGTGTAATTTGTGTTTATATTATATGAATGTCACACACTGACACAAAATATTTCACATATTTGTATTAAAATGCACATAGTGCCACATACAATATATTGATATAGCAAAATGATTCAAATTCACCTATCCACATCATCTGATTCACACACTCAACCTCATTTCACGTAGGCCCACGTACGGTGGTTCTTATGTACCGAAAACATTTCAGATTGTCCCAGTTTGTCAGTGTTTGTTTTTATATAAAAAATTTATACCTAAAGCATTTTGAATCACCATTGGCAACTGGCGCCAGTTCACTTCCGGGACTTCCCAATGCCAAGAATTCCTTAGATTATTCGTAAACATTCAGTAAACATTCCTCACATTCGGTAAAACTTCCTTATTAAACGAAGAGCAGGCGGCTGTTTTTTTGGTAATTTATGGCCTATTACTCTATTAGCCTATATTAAATAGATCTTGAGAATTACAAAGTTCTCTGAATTTTTGTCTCATTAATTGGGAATTGAAATTTTGAGCAGCATTGTCAAAAGGACGAAAGCCGAAAGGAAAGTCTCTCTGTCAGTCTGTCTCGCATGTTGCCTGTTTCACTGTTTGGTCAAATGATAACTTCACTAAAAGATGTTTGCAGTCCTGAATGCTTACGACTGCATTTCCTGTGATTTTAGAAGCATTTTTGCTAAATAACAGCTAATTTGATTGCATTCTTCAATACTTATATTTCAAAAAGTTTGAAATTGCTTGGAAATTCCTTAAATAAAAAAATTCATTTCCTTAATTTCCTCGGTTTTAAAATATTAAGGAAATTAAGGAAATTTACTTAATGGCCGGCATGCAAAGAGGACTGGGTATTAGCATAGATCTATGGGTATTAGATTGCAAAATGAAAATAAAAACAATAAAAATATGGCCGAAAATGACGAGGGAAGGAAATTAGGACATGCCGCAGAAAGATGTGATATTCTTGCTAAAATAAAATCCACCGTCGATGGTTTGTTAGCCAGTGGTTCCCACGTAACGTGGTCTACCTATGGAGGGCTCGCCAGAATTTCTGACAATGTCGAGCAGGTTTTAATTCACGGATCTCGTATTGTGGTGAGTGGCTGACTGGCTGAGTAGTGAGTAGGTTATTTATAGTACCAGCAAACTTCGAATTGATAGGGATGCAACTACCTGAAAAATACAAGGAGAAAGTTGAAGTTCTCCTCAGACTGCTGTGATTTTGTAGTTTTTCTCTGGTATATGAGGTTGGAATTTCAGCTTACCTGCTGTCTGCTGATGAATGGTGAATGAAAAATATGGGAAGTTCACACACTTTTATTAACCAACACCGTCGATTCTTGCTCTTGTGCAAAAAATGAATGTGACTACTTTTCTACGCTTCTGACTGGAAAGTTCAAAATTGCACATCCAAGATTTCGAAACTACACGCACAAAATCTTGGTTGCGCAATGTAAACTGTCCACAGAGGCTTGATTATACGGCTATAACTGTTAAAAATATGTCAAGCTATTACAGAGGAACCCTGCGTTATGGACACCACATTAACATGGTAAATTCTTGATTACCGCCACTTATTTTTGTCCCCCGAGAAACACCAAGACAATACGGCAAATGGTTAAAACGACCAACTTTTGTCAGTCGTTCTTGGCCATATAAACGGGGTTCCACTTTCGTTTAACTAATCTCTGTACCATTCCAGACAGTGCATTTTTAAGGATTTTTCAGTGGTGGGGCAAAATTAACTGCCAAAAGACCCATTTTCTTTGCCCCGGGATAGTATGTGATTGCCAAAGGTGTGAGCTGAGTACCACAGGCACAAGTTAGTTAGGGGGATCTGGGGAAATTTTTAAAATTTGGGTCTCTGAAATAGCATTTCCTGCATTCTGAAAACCCCAGCTTCTCAAAACACAGGCGGCCCAATCTCACAAGGGTTAGTATAGTAATGTATATTATTGTAAAAATATGTCATAAAATATAAATTTTAAAATGATTTGCCCACTTGATAGTGTGTATTTTCCTTTTATTCCTCTTTTGTTGGACTAATATTTTCCAAAGTCTCGGAAAATATTAGTCCAATAAAAGAGGAATAAAAGGAGAATACACACCAGGGTCTTAGCTAGGATTTTAGATCTTGGGCGTGTTTCTAAATGACCAGGGTGTGCACATGTCAATTACCTCAAATAGCCAAATTCACGGTTCTAGTTATGCTCGCCAACAACAGACAATACCTGTGGTTGTTCTATGCTTTGCAAGTTATTTCAGCAACTCTTGGGGACATTTAAAACCATTTTAACACCATACAGTTCCCATTATCCATCAAAACATTAAAACATAGATTTTACAAACGTAGATTTTACAAACTTTCTTACGACGTACAGTAAATAGGAAGAAATTCTGTCTGTTATTTTATGAACCTAAACACGGTCTTATAAAAATAATGAAACCACGTTCATTTTATCTAGCTGTGTTTTTCCTTTTTTGGCCGCGATAACACGGCTAAGACCCTGATACACACTATCAAATAGGCAAGTCAATTTTATTTTAAAATTTGTATTTTATGACATATTTTTACAATAATATACAGTATTATACTGACCCTTGTGAGATTGGGCCGCCTGTGCTCAAAACAAAGTTTTAATGGTGAAATTTGTAATAAATAATATAGTTTTTCAATTCGAAATTGGGTTTAGGTTGAGGACAAGATCAGTTTATTTTACAAAATAATTATCTGTATACTACTTAATATATATAAGTACTATTTACAACATGAGCAGTCTTGTTGTATCGGATATACAACACGGCTTGATGAGAACATTCGTATTCTTCCACAATATAAAATAAATTAATCATTGATATTTGGTGAGAAAATTGAACTTAAAGTTTATGTATATATCAGCATGATTTTGTATCAGATACACAAACTTGTTTTACGCTCCTGATTTCTTTTGTGCGGTTTTCTTCATGAATTATTAATGATTTCACAATGCTATGTAGTAATTATGTATGCTTAAAGTAGGCGGATAACCGCTGGTACCGTAACCTGTTAATGTCCAAAATTTCTGGCTATGAAATGTTAACTTATTTGCAGTTGATGGTCGCTTGTAAATCGCAGTAGAGCTACGTAAATTCATAAGTGTTGAATGATGAGTATGACATTTTCAACATCTTTTAAAAAATCATGTAATCGGTTTACTGCTTTTGAGAGGACACTGTACTGTATGTCTAGAAAGGTCATTGCATGCCAATTCTTTGGCAGCGGTGATCTTTCAGTTCCTATATAATCTTGTTCGATAGTAAACTTTTTGCCCAGTGACCTACCATGAGAGATGCTTGGCCACTTAGTGCAATACACCCTTCCGGAAAGTACGTCACTTTGGCTATAGAGCCTCGTTTTTGTGTATCTGTCTGACATTAGTTAAAGGCCGCGTCTCAATCACGAAAACGAGGCTCTACTGTATATGGCCAAGGTGACATACTTTATGGAAGCATGTATTTTAAGTGATTTAGGGCATGTTAAAGGATTAATGACACACGATTGTATATCACAGGCTTTTGTTTGTGTTTGTGTTTATTTTACTTTAACCTATAACACGCTTTACTTTACTGTAAGTTTTACTTTGTGTAATGCCAGATGATTTTATTCCGTAAAATAGACATAGAGAGCTTGCTGGACAACAACTCCAACTGCTGCGAGATGTGCAGGGAGTGAACAGATACACTTACCTTTTTCATACAGTATTTATATAGTCTATAATATATAATTATACATATTTATTTATAATTCATTGTAAATTTTTAGATATATAGTGTCACCAATTAGCTGTAAAAGTTAAATAACCTGGACACTGAAATAAAGTTTTTATTTTTATTATTATTATTATTAATATTATTATTCAAGGGGAGAGAGCTGCCACTAAATGGGTTTAACAGATACATGTGACACAGTAATTCAAGATTTTTAGTCGTTCCTGACTGCATGGTACGCCAATGGTTGTTGCCGTTACAGTACAAACTTCTACTTGCACTAGTACAAACTCAGTATACTCAATGTGTATACTTATAGTCATTAATTAATAAGATTCATAAAGTACAGTTTCTGAAAAGTATGTTCAGACTAGGACGTAGAAAAAGAAACACAATTGCATAATATACAAACAATCGACTCCAACGTTTCTTAGTGCCGTCAATCCAATCATGTTTCATGCCAAGACATCTCAGACACATACACAGACTAAATTACGGTATTGAATACCTTGGGTTTGGAAAGGTCATCTGATACCAGCAAGAAGTAAGTACGCACCTATACAGTACGTGGTGTACTTGACTGAAAACAAAGAAGTACCAGACCGTAATATTGGCGTACCTCCGGTACGTAAGTGCGCGAATTATCGCACCCTGCCGATTCCTGATGTTCTGGTTATGTTTTCTGTACATATTAACCACGGGGAAACCCGAGGAACCCCCTTTTATCAATAAAATAATCTTGTATTAGACACATGGATGTAAAAAAGAAGTATGCTCTTGTGCCCTGATCACTTCCCGCATGACTGCCGTATAATCATATTTAACTTTTGGCAAGCAGTCCCAACGATCCATGCGACCGAAAAGTTCTTGATCCCTATATCCTTTTCGAATTTTCTGCATGTCTGGTACCATAAACTTGGCACACCATAAACTTTTGTCGCCCGTCACAGCGAAGCGAAGAAAATGTTTTGTGTTCTTTTCTCGCATGATTTTCGAATAGTACTTTTAAAATTCGTGTTAAGTTTAGCTGTTGTTCAAGCTCAATACAGTAAAACCCCGCATTTAAGAACCTAGATGTTTACAAGTTAGCCTAAAGAGGTTCTTATGCACATCGTGCTTACCAGGAAATTGGGCTAAACAGGTTTTTAAATAGGTTTTTATTTTGTTAAGTGACTCATTTTTGGTAGTTGCATGTGGTATATAATTTATGCTGTGTCCATCATGCTGGAAAACATTGCTTACATTCACTAGCGGTTGAGATTGTCATGTTGTGTTTTCACTGAAGAAATACAATTATTTGTTGTTGTGTTCATATAGACATGTTATTTATCTGAATGACATTTTCAGGGTTCTGTGTCATTTTCATTACTTTGCAGTGAAGAGCTTATTTTCTTGGATTTATAAATTTTTAGTTTTGACTCTATTTGATGAAACAAGCCTAAACAGCGTCTTAAATTCTAAGTTCTAATATGCGGAATTTTACTTTACCGTCCGAAAATACGATAAAATCGATACTTAGGTT